TCCTACCACTACCAGTTTTGGTTTGGGTTTGTGTCATTTCAAATGCTCAGTCTCGTTAGGAGCTGATCATTTTTCTGTGTTCTTGGAAAAGCAGGCGAGTCAGCCGACCCAATATATGAGCAGGCAGAGCCCGATTCTCGCGATGACCACTGGTGCAATACCATTCTTTGTTATGAGCTGCAGTTTCAATGTAAACTTAGTAAAGGCGAGCTTCTTTGGCGATGATGTGTACAGTATTAGATTTCACATTTAGCGGACATTTGCGCTGAACACGCAGTGAATGCAACGCATCGAGATTCGAGCACCTTCCCCGAAAAACACACGATTAATCTCGGCTGAGACTCAGACTCAGCTTTATTATCCCGTTAGGGAAACTAAAATTGCAACAAGGTACCACACACAGGCGAAGTTCCATGTACACATTAAAAAATACTACTATACAACATCCATACATCAATATCTAGAAACATCCCCCTCCCCCCTGGACTCATTTAATGACCTAATGGCCACCATTATAAAAGAATTTCTGGTTCTATTTGTCCTGCAAATAGGAACCCTAAAACGACGTCCTGATGGCAACAGTTGAAATACAAAGTACAGTGGGTGATCCGGGGTGCATAGGATACCCTGAGCTCTCCTTAGTACATGATTTTGGTAGATTACCATTAGACCAGTCTGATTAAAACCAATGATCTTGCCTGCCACCTTCACCAGGCTGCTTAACCTGTTCTTGCTTGACACACTCAGATTGCCGTACCAAGCTACAATGCAAAAAGATAAAACAGATTCGATAAATTGTTTATAAAACAGCGTCATCATAGAGGTAGAAACCTGAAATGATGAAGTTTACTCAGAAAAAAACAGTCTTTGTTGGACTTTTTTATATACAGCCTGGGTGTTAGGTTGAAATGTCAACATATTATCAATAACAACCCCTAGATATTTATGCGTGTCAACAATTTCAATGTCCAAGCCTTTAATATTAGTTATGTTTGGGGTTGGAGAAGCCTTCCTGTAGTCTATCACCATATCTTTTGTCTTACTTGCATTCAACTGGAGAGAAAATCTATCACACCAGGAAGTAAACTCCTGCACAGCAGGACCATGCCCCAAATCCTGATCGTGGAGGAGACTTACAATAACAGAATCATCTGCATATTTAATGATATGACAATCCCTGTGAATACTACGACAGTCATTAGTATACATGATGAACAAAAGAGGTGAGAGGCAGCAGCCTTGAGGTGACCCAGTGGAACAAAACTGGAAGTCAGAAAGAGCACCGTTAACTCTGACACACTGTTGACGTCCAACTAAAAAATCAAGAATCCATCCACCTGGTGGATCGACATTCACCACATGATCGCTCTCATCTGCGCCATTATTTGTAACTTTAGGTGGGGTTTGCAAACCTGTAAACGTTTCACTCTTCGGCCGTTTGCATTTCCCGTGGTCGCAAAAGCTCCCTGTCATCTGACAGCGGAAAGCCTTGATCGATTGACAGCCAATATGAACTAATATAGCGGCAGGGAAGACTGATTCAGCACGTTTGAGAAAAAAATCAAAGCAGGACGCGCCACAGCCGTTATTTGCAGTCGCACAAATGCTCCCAAATATATAGGTCACAAGCCAGCCGGCCCGGGTGCCCAGTCAGCGCGCGCGAATGATATCGCTCAGGTCCTACTCTCAACATATAAATAAATCTGAGAAAAATTTAGAATAAAGGCCTGCACTTAACACAAACTGGAAATTTATTTTTTAAAAATTGGGCTCGAAAATGTAATACTTCGTTAAATGACGTTATTTTTGAATGCCCTTAATTTTGGCAAATTTTTTACTACCTCGCGGACACCCTGTTTATATAAATAAAAATAAATAAACCCCTGACGTTACGTTCAAGACAAAATTCGAATATAATATTATAGCTTTATTTACTCATTTTAATTAGGAAGAAACTAGTGTGTTTCACAAAATTAATGAATGTTTAGGCATTTTACTCCCCTACTCGGAGTATAAACAACACTCGTCAAATCCCTCCTTCGTTTGTGTAGAGCCGCAGATCTAACTGAGAATCAAATGTCTGAGTTGAGCTTCGGGAATAAAAAAAACCAACCTGTTTGTTCCTCGGGATCTTCTTGTTTCAGCGAGAACACTTCTGCAATCCTGATGTCTTCACGTCTGAACGTTTCTTCAATCCTCAGGTCTTCACTCTCCTCTTTAATAAACGCCATTTTCATTATAGCGTCACATGGAGGCAAAAGTCGCATCAGCAGTTTTTCTCTGTGTTTAGGCGAAGAATAATCAACAGAGAGATGAATGAATACAAACTAAACCTCTGGCAGTGTCTCAATTAGCTCTATAGTTCACTAGTCAGTGCACTAGATAGAGTTAATGGACTAAAACCGACTAGTTAATCTCAATAAGCTAAAAAAAAACAAGACTGCTGCAGAATTTTATGTCGGTAGATTTTTTTCAAGACCAACTAAAGAAACGTAACGGGAGGGGGGGGAAGCTATATATAATAACTAAAAAGCACACAATGAGTTTAAAAAAAAAAAAAAAAAAAAAAGAGTTAAAAAATACCAAAAAAATAATAATAATAATAATAATTAAATACATTTCATTAAACCAGAGGAGTGAAAAATTGACTTTTACCTTCTGGTCAGAATAATTGTATATCTATACATCTATGACATTGAGGTGAGGGACGCACATTCGCCTATAGCAGTTTTAACATGGAGTGACACGACATCTCTGACGTCCAGATGCCACTGGCACATGCCACTGAGTGTAGTGACACTTCCGGTGGCACGTCCGGTTTTCCACCGTCATGTGTCACTCGCTAGTGGCATGTGTAGTGACCTGTGTCACTCAGAGTGTCGCGCTGCATGTCACTGCAGTGACATCGACACCCGGCGAAGCTTATGACACTAATTAACACGAGCAAAACCATATTTAATCATTACGTGACTTTTAACCTAATTTATCGCGTCGCAAGTTAGTTTATTTGCTGAGCTACTCCACGATGTTTTAATTTAAACGCATTTATTTTATGTATTGGTAGTCATACTTCCGTACGTAATATAGTCATTTGACAGTACATGTTAAGGCTGATTTATACTTCTGCGTCAAACACCGGCATAGGCTACGGCGCTGACGCATAGCCATTCGCCGTGGCCATCGCCGTCACTGACGTGCACCTCTCAAAAATTGTAACTACACGTCGCAACAACGCGTAGCGCAAGCTCTGTGATTGGTCGGCTTGCTAGCGCTGACGAGTCTGGGCGGGACCGAAAGCCGCGCGAATGGCGCGAGTGATTGTTTACAAGTGTGGAGTCCCGTGAAGGAGCTCCGGATGGAAAGTTTTGTTTTGTGTTTACCTCATGGTTAAAGTTGTTGCACGTCCGCCTGTTCCTGCCTCAAAATGAGCGAGTTTGAGCCACTTGTACATCCCGGAAGTGTTCAGAATAGCAAAACAGAAGCGAAGAAACTCGACACAGAGGAACATTTACACCTTACTGCCTACTAGCGTTTCGGAAGTGTTAATGCAGACCAACGGAGACAGTGCGCAGAAGTATAAATGCACAGCTGCGCGCGTTGCCTGCGCCGTGAGTTGCGCCGGTCACTTGACGCAGAAGTATAAAACAGGCTTTAGTCAAATTTATTGTGGCATGCTTATGTATGGGAGGGGTTACACTTATCTGTTGTACTGTATATTATTGCATCCTGGCAGTTCCTTTGTTCCCTACAATATGGACTTCTCTATGTTTTTAATTCATTCATTTATTTTATTGTTTAACTTATTTTCATTTTAAGGTATTTTAAATAATATGCTTTAAAAAGTTATAATAAAATGCATGTTGAAAACTTATAACATATATGCATGTAAGATAACGGGTGTCATTTGCCTAATGATTTTTAAAAATTAAAGCAAAGAGACTTATAAGATTAATGTGCTTATACTGACACCTACTGGCACATGTCACAAGAAATCGCACGTATGACTTCAAAACAACATTGTACTGTTTTCACTGTTTCATTGACTGTGAAAAATGTTGCGCTTTGCTAGTCACCTATTTACCTCAGTCTCCACAAAGCCAAATAAGAAAAATATCCGTTCTCTGTTTCAGCGCAAGATCATCTCTTGTCCTACTGCTCTCTAGTAGTAGAGCTGACAAATAGGTAATACATTCATTCATTTTCTTTTCCGCTTTGTTAATCAGGGGGCGCCACAGTGGAATGAACCGCCAACTTATCCACCACATATTTTACGCTGCGGATGCGCCTCCAGCTTCAACACATCTGGGTATAATTAACTGGAAAAGAGTATGGTGGTTAATTCCTAATGTACAATAAAACTATTGGAATTATACCAAGTGAGTTGTGCTAATGTTGTTTTAAAGTTATATTTACATGCTATACAAGACCAAACATTTAAAATTAGCGCTTTGCAAGTTCTTACTGTTCTAAAATGAATGAACGTGTGAATATAAAGTCAACTTTACCTCAGTAAAAGTAGTGAGAGTTCCCATTTGATGATTATCGATATAAATAATCGATTATTTACCTCACTATTGTCATTTTTTTGGATTTATCAGTTCATGTTTAGCAGTTTAATGGTCACCTAAAATATCTTTAATTCAAATATGTCTGCAAAGCTGCCTTATTGTGATGTTAAATATTACAAATTCATTGCAAAACACACATTACAAGACGTATTTTCTGTGATGACTTATATACGTTTAATAAATTACACCTTAACGTAACCTCCCCACACAAAACCTCAATAATGATGGGGGAAATAAAACCCTGCAGCATTTCATTCAACGATACATATCTTAATACTAAAATAATAAAGACGGAGCGAGTTGCGTTGATTGAAACGCGTTAAGTGGATAAACACAAACCTTTTCTCAGGCGCAACACAAACAGATGCAGGGGAGCGGAGCAGTCCTGTGATGACGTCAGACAGTGAATACAAAAGAAAAGTCTTTTGTTTATTGTCAACAAAAATGAAGAATATATATATATATATATATATATATATATATATATATATATATATATATATATATATATATATATATATATATATATATATATATATATATATATATATATATATATATATATATATATATATATATATATATATATATATATATATACATATATATATATATATATATATATAT